AAAACTTGTTGTCTGTCTCATACTCGAACAAGACAGGACATGACAGTACAAAAACTTGTTGTCTGTCTCATACTCGAACAAGACAGGACATGACATTACAAAAACTTGTTGCCTGTCTCATACTCGAACGAGACAGGACCGGGTGAGGCAAAAAGATGCATCTTTTCTGTCCACCAAAATAGGAGGAACCAAAAATGAGGAAAGTAAGACAAAATTGGTAAATTACTATATTACCCATGTCAAATTGAAACCCTATGTACCAAACACACTCTAAAAGAACAGAAGTGGCTAATAGAAGGCCTTTCTTGAATTATATTGTGGTAAATTGGTACCTCAGGGAACTTGTATTGAAGTTGCTCCTCTAAAGCACTTGAAAGGATCTTACTAAACCACTTAACAGAATCCTGTAAAACATTTGATGTGGTTATAAGCTCTTTCTACAAAGGACCCGATTGTTTAACAAAGGAGTTATGGAAAGATTAATGCATAAAGAAAGAAATAGTTACCGTATTCCCATTACGAATAGAAGACAGCAAGTTACCATCTAAGTTCTCTTTTGCATTGATCATGCATTCTGTTAACGCCTTCACTATCAAATCTACAACATACCATAAACATCAAAGTTAAGAAAAACACCCTCCGTTTCTTAACTAGATACACAGTTTGAAGATCAACCCAATCATTTTTAGGATCCAACAACTAATAACAGTTTGTTCTTCGAATGAATATACGAATCCTTCTACTTTAAATATGAAAATTATGCATTTGATTACATAGATATAGTAAGAATCAGTAAACCTTCATGCTTCTGATGATCATTTTGAGATGGTGGCTGTTTTCCACAATTTGTGGATAAATCCAATTGCCTGTTGGGATCTAAACCTGCTGCTGGTCTAGGGTTCCTACCATTTGAATGCATAACCAACGGACATCTATTGATGTGCTTAAAAACTCCATTCCCTCCTGGGTTCTGTTTCCTTTCTTTGTAATCTTTAAGTCCCAAAACGCAATCAACGATCTTAGTAGATGAATCCGCTTCCATATTATCCTATAAAATACTTGTGAAATCATTAATAGAACCAAAAAGACTTTGTGAAATGTATTGAATTTTGTTCTAGTTTATGTACCCTTTCGAAAACTGAAGCTTCAAAGACTGGCAGATTTAGGTCTTCAACTGCTTTCAGAAAGTTTCGAACATTCTCAAAGAATTGATAGGCGGGCAATGGCTGAGAATCCCACAGGAGAGATTGCGAAGGATGCCGACTAATCTCCACAACCTTTACAATAACATTTTATAAAGAACACCCACATCACTAATCAAGAAACAATGCAGAAAAACTGTAACAACTGATTGTAACATTCGTATTAAGATTTACACCTTTTGGACAGACCCTGGTTGAATCTTGTTAATGGCTTTGCAAAGAATCAATCCATTTCTCAAGCAAGAAATGAATTCTTTCTCTGATGGCTCTTTTGATATGCCTAATGGACCCACAAAACTCTCAAGCCATTCAGTAGCTTGAATCCTCCTCGAAGCTACAAAAATAACGAAAAAAGAAACCCAAAATTGATAGATGTATTTGATCGATTTGATGAACAAAATCGATACCAGAAACTGTAATTTACCTGCATCTTGGGCTTTTCTTGAAGCCAAATTTAAATCATGCACTGCTCTTGATTCAATCACCTCCATTAATTTTAACAATCTGAAATTAATTTCTTAATCTTTCATTCAAGGAAACGGAATCAATTTTCCAGAAACCCTCGAGAAGATGGGGGTATTCTCCTTCAACACTGAATCTGTGCTAAAATCTGGAGAGATTGAAAACCCTAAATTCTAGTGAGAGAGAAGAGAGTACCGAATGAAGTAAACGAGGGCTTAAGAAACATGGTATTGGGGAGTTTTCAATTAACTTGCAGAGAAGACCGTTAGTTCTATTTGAATTCAAATCTGTAGGGTCGTTTGTAATGGAATTCATCGTGGCCGTTCATATCACTGCACGATCGAGAGCTGGTCAGCCTAATCAACGGTTTTAATCGCATCTAATGTATGGGCCTTAGATGACGTTGTTATGCCACAATTTTTATTTTCAAACGGCCATACAACTTTTTCGTTTTCTTAACCTCCTTTTTTTCTTTTGGGTAAATCAGTACTTCTTTTTTATCTGATTTAGCCTCAGTCGTTAAGTGAGTCAAAAATACCATTTCACATCAGTATTTCTAAAGATGGATTTCATATGAAACCAGTTAATATCATTGATAATCAACGGAATATATATTTAGTTGATCACACTGAATTCAATAACAATAAGCTACATAGTTATAAAATATATGAATAAAAGTATTTAATTTCATTTATTCAGTACTGCATTATGTATCTTATCTATGATAGTCATGGTTACAAAATGATAACGATAACAGTAAGCGGCAATAAACATTCACTCGACTCCTACGCTACGTTTTCATGTTTTCAGAGTTTTTTAGAAGGGAAAAAAAATTTCTTTCCATAACAATTGGAAGGAAATAAAAGGAAATTAATAATAACAATTAAAAATATTTACAAATGTACACATTTATTTATTAATTACGGTCAACTTTAAAATAAATAAGAATATGTTTATAGAAATGAAATTTTTCTCCCTCTCATTTTTAAAAACATGAATTTATTTTTTCTATTTATTCTCAAGAACACAAATAAAAGATTTAGGTCTTCAACTGCTTTCAGAAAGTTTCGAACATTCTCAAAGAATTGATAGGCGGGCAATGGCTGAGAATCCCACAGGAGAGATTGCGA